TTATGTCACTCAGACAGGTATGTTCTATATATGCAATTGTGTTGATAGAAAATCACATAGATCAGATATTCCTCTTTAAAAGAAAAAAGTAATGCAAAGTGACCCACATTTGGTTTTTGACCACTGAAAATGTGAACAATTTACCAATTTACTCATGGAGCCGCATTAAGATCTCCATATCTCTGGAATTGAACCATTGAGGGCCTTTAAAATTAAGATACCAAAAGGAAAGTTTGTTAAGAACAATAATCTAAAAGGATATAAAGATATTTTATATCCTTATTTTATAACACTTTACAAAAAGGTTCATTAGTTAACATTAGTTAACTACTTTAGTTAACATGAACTAAGAATGCACAATACTAAGTTCTACAGCATTTATTAATCTTAGTTAATGCTAATTTCAACATTAATGAATTATTAAAATCAAAAGTTGTACTTGTTAACATTAGTTAATGCACTGTGAATTAACAGCTAACAATGAACGACTTTATTTTCATTAACTAACATTAACAAAGATTAATATATACTGTAATAATTGTACTCTTCATGGTTTGTTCATGTTAGTTAATACATTAACTAGCATTAACTAATGGGACCTTATTGTAAGGTGTGACCTATCTTTTTAATACTTCTTGAGTTACAGGCAATTTTATAATTTTGCAATTTCATAAATTTGTATAATAACTTTCATTAATAAATCAACATAAATATATAACAAATTCACATAGCTAGAAATGTGAGATAACATGCTTGTTAATGCTTACTAATGTACTACTAATTTAACATTACCTAATGATTAATAGATCATTATTTAATGTAATTTGAAATGCTTTTAACATTTAGTGGGAAGTCGTGGCCTAATGGTTAGAGTCGGACTCGTAACCCAAATGTTGTGGGTTCGAGTCTCGTACTGGCAGGGATTGTAGGTGGGGGGAGTGAATGTACAGCGCTCTCTAAACCTTCAATACCACGACTGAGGTGCCCTTGAGCAAGACACTGAACCCCCAACTGCTCCCCAGGCGCCGCAGCAAAAATGGCTGCCCACTGCTCTGGGTGTGTGTTCACGGTGTGTGTGTGTTCACTGCTGTGTGTGTGCTCTTTGGATGTGATAAATGCAGAGCACTAATTCCGAGTATGGGTCACCATACTTGGCCACATGTCCCTTCACTTTTCACTTAACTTTCAATTCATGTGATCATGTAGGCTACTTTTTAAAAATCTTCAAATTATTTTGACAGATGGTTTACAATGATTAAAAGCTTCATTAATAAACATTATATAATGCTTAACAGATCATTAGCCTAGTTAATGCTTACAAAGGTCATTAAACTTTTGATTCATATGATCATGCACTTTTTAAAAAATCTACAATTGATTTTAACAGAAATTATACAATTACAAGCTTACTTGTTAATGTACTTTTCATATATGACCTAATGCTCTTTTTTACATTTACAAATGCTGTGGGAAAAATAAATAAATAATCACAGTCTGTAAAGGTCACATTTGGTTTTCATTTGCTGTGTAGATTTCTACTATTTACACATCTTAACAAATCATTTTAGGCGATTATTTGTTCATGTTTTTGCAGTACCCAATCTAAATTTGAAACTATTCATCATTTGTTAATGTTTATTAATCTTTTAGTATCTTTATGAGCATTGAACTTTTAGCTGCTGTAACAACGTTTGTTTAAAGAGTGATTTAGTTCAGTTTAGCTAAATGCTCACTAAAGACATCACGCACATTGTAATTTGGGCCTCAACACTTATATTAGTATACTACTGTATATCATTAAACATATTAAAAAACATATTCCTTTAATCATACATCAACAGGAGAAAACTAATGTATTTTTCAAGAAAATACTTGTTCATTTATCAAAACAATGTAATATAAACAGATTGAACCACGTTCTCTTATAGTAATCAATTTGTCCCTGTACACTTTTCACCCCTTAACCAACCCTTAAACCTACCCATACACCAAACCTGTCCCTAACTGTACCCGTATCACACCTCAGTAGCAGCAAAAGTGTTGTGCATTAACAAAAGCTTTAAATCATTGTATTACATCTGTTAAAATCATTTGAAGATTTTCAAGAAGTGCATGATCACATAAATTGAAAGTTGAATGACATTTGTAAGCATGATTATTTACATGAAATAATGACCTGTTATTCATTAGATAATGTTTAATAAGTACATTCGTAAACATTAACAAGCACATTATCTCATATTTCTAGCTATATTAACTAATGATCTGCTAAGCATTATATCATGTTTGTTAATGATTTAATAATGAAAGTTATTATAAAGTGTTACCAAGGGCTCACTACCTGTGTTGTTCAGTTGAACTTGTATTAAAGGGGTCATATGATGTGATTTCAAGTTTTTATTTCGGCAAACCAGAACAAAGTCGCGATGTAACATTTTCCAGCTAACCAATTATTCCTCTAATAAACAAAGCTTTTATAGCACACTTGTCATAATCAGAGCTTATAATTTGTAACTAAATAATTACTGGATTCAAAACAGCAATTAAAAGGCGCTTGACAATACGTTTTCCCGAAGCATTCAATGATGTCACTAAACGGTGATGCCACAACTAAGAGCATCGTTCACAAGTTTCTGCAGGACCTAACTAGCCTAGGCACAGGTTTTCAAGCCCTGGGACAAAATGGGATGCTTTAAGGGGGCTGCGTGCGGCTCATGCGCAAAACACGTGCGAGCGGCTGTGTGTGACGGTATATAAATGCATCATCATTCATTCATAATGTACAAATTAAGCTTTTAATGTGATTTAAACTTTAAAAGTACATTAAAATAGAAACAACACAAAGTTCTTCAACATGGAAAGCAATAGAAATGTAGTAACTAAGTAATTTCCCCAGATAATTCTTTCATATCGGGCTCTCAGCTTTGCAGGGCTGTGGGACACAGGACAGATAGGCTATTCATTCCTACAACTTGTTAATTCGTTCCTACAATTTATTAATTTGTGGCCACTGTCCATGTTTCATTAATTTTGTTCCTTAAATAACCCATGATTTAACTAAAATGAGGGAACAAATTAATAAATCGAACGAATTCTTAATTCATGGCCATGAAATCTTTCATTTCCCTTAGATGCGAAAACAGTGATAAGAAGTGAATGACAATAAAATAAACCTGCGAAATTATGGGCTAGACGGTGAGGATTTAGGAAAAGAAACAATTCCTAAATATTATTGAATTTGTGGAAATTCGTGACCAACTGGCAAACCAGAACAAAGCCGCGTGAATGTAGGCTATATGGGCTCGAACGGCATCCAAAAGCATGGTCGCGATGTAACATTTTTCAGCTAACCAATTATTCCTCTAATAAACAAAGCTTTTATACCACACTTGTCATAATCAGAGCTTATAATTTGTAAATAAATAATTGCTGGATTAAAAACAGCAATTAAAAGGCGCTGTGACCGACACTGACTATACGTTTTCCCGGAGCATTCAATTATGTCACTAAACGGTGATGCCACAACTGAGCATCGTTCACTAGTTTCTGCATGGACCTAACTAGCCTAGGGCACAGGTTTTCAAGCCCTGGGACAAAATGGGATGCTTTAAGGAAAATGATGATCGTTTCCGTCTATATGCGAATGCGTGTAAAGTACAAGCCTAGTTTACATTATAAATAATAGTTTAACATTCAAATACATTGCGAATATGGAAACATTTGGATTTGTGCCAAATGAGACGCGAGGAATAAGCTCCAAATGCATCTAGCCAAGCCCGCGCTCGCTCCGTCTCGTATGCACGCACGCATGCACTGTCACGATCTAATGCGCTGTAAATGCCGGATTTTAAAAACAAATAGGCCTACAGGAACGCAAACATTTCAAATCTGACATTTTCCGGAACAGGATCCAGCAGGATCAAATTAAGTACTGGTCATAATACTCACATGATAATAATGTTTCATGTTAGCAACCGTGTGTTTTGCTGCAGCAGCGCCGATGGAAGCGGTT